GAAATTTTCAAATCAGAACGCCGAGCTCGCTCTTTCTGCTCGCCCTCCCCGCACGGAGCTTTCGCCCCCCACTACCCCCGCCCCCTCAGCCTGCACTCACATGCTAATTGTTTACGGAGCTCATGTCTCACAATATGGATCGCACATTTGAACATGGATGGCGTGACCATAGAATGACTGAACCAGGAAGCGCGGAAGAACGAGACTTTCTTTTGGCTGTTTCACTGTGTAAGCAGTAACCGGTGACGAAGACACGGGAAGGTTCAGGTTAGCCTCTGTCGCTTGTTTACCTCAGCTGTCTGTGCTAACCACAGACCTGTGGCTTTTCTCAAGAAAGTGGGGGCCAGTGGTCCGCTGTGATTGGTCACATTCTGGACCTGAAACACTTTCTCTTCCTTGTTTCACAAAAACTCGATCTAATATAAAATCACACCAGCACAAATCTGCGCTTCAAAAGGACGTATATCCCAATGCACTGCATGGATAAGGACTGAACTTTCGTAATGAATACAAAAATAAAGTCAGTTAGGGCAGCTTTAAGTAATGGAATCTAAAGCCATAAATTGCTGTAGCTCCGAGTGGTTTGGCTCTTGACCACTTCTCTATATGCAGCTGCAAACAATTGAAAGACAATATTAGTTTTTGAATTTCAAAGTGCTTTGATTAGACACATACCAAGAATATAAAAAAGGTTAAATTAATGACTATTTGATGGAGTTGCAGCAATAACACAAACTGGCGCCTACAAATACAGAACCTGCTTTACACAAACGGATGCAGAGAGGGTACACATGTACAGAACTTTCTCATAACCACAGAGGGACCGGCTCCGTCCAAAGGTCCGCACTAAACACTAAAAATACTCTGCCTTTTGTTTTTGGCACAGAGAATATCAAGAGCATTTATTTTTTCAAAGTGCAAATTCCATCCTACCAGAAATCCTCCATTGGGATTGGTCACCAGCGTGGTTCCCATGGTCATGTTCTCTTTGACTTCGTTGAGGTTGGGAACGGTCGTGTTTTCTGTGAAGAGGAGAAAATATGGATGAATAAACAGAACAAACCCCAGGGCAGCGCCGAAGAGGAACCACAGCTGGAGGAGTTTTTGTTTCCCAGAGGAGAATGGTGGATAAATCCCAAATAAATCCATGTTGCAGAGATGTGCTGTGGTAGGAGATTGCAAAATGAGATATTATCATTTTGACAACACTTTTTCTAAATCCCCAGATGCTCGTGGATTTGACTTAGAAGCAAGACAAAGTTATTACAATGTGTCAGGTTGTATGGTTCTGTAGCACATTTACAGACTTTACAGCCTCAGTTCTGGATCTACAGCCTCAGTCCTGGGTCTACAGCCTCAGTCCTGGATCAGTCCTGGTTCTACAGCCTCTATCCTGAGTCTACAGTACGAGTCCTGGAACTACAGCCTCAGTCCTGGATCTACAGCCTCAGTCCTGGATCTACAGCCTCAGTCCTGGATCTACAGCCTCAGTCCTGGATCTACAGCCTCAGTCCTGGAACTACAGCCTCAGTCCTGGATCTACAGCCTCAGTCCTGGATCTACAGCCTCAGTCCTGGATCTACAGCCTCAGTCCTGGATCTACAGCCTCAGTCCTGGGTCTACAGCCTCAGTCCTGGATCAGTCCTGGTTCTACAGCCTCTATCCTGAGTCTACAGTACGAGTCCTGGAACTACAGCCTCAGTCCTGGATCTACAGCCTCAGTCCTGGATCTACAGCCTCAGTCCTGGATCTACAGCCTCAGTCCTGGATCTACAGCCTCAGTCCTGGAACTACAGCCTCAGTCCTGGATCTACAGCCTCAGTCCTGGATCTACAGCCTCAGTCCTGGATCTACAGCCTCAGTCCTGGATCTACAGCCTCAGTCCTGGATCTACAGCCTCAGTCCAGGATCTACAGCCTCAGTCCTGAACCTCTACAGCCTCAGTCCAGGATCTACAGCCTCAGTCCTGAATCTCTACAGCCTCAGTCCTGGATCTCTAACCTGATTCCTGGGTCTACAGTCTCAGTCCTGAACCTCTACAGCCTCAGTCCTGAACCTCTACAGCCTCAGTCCTGGATCTACAGCCTCAGTCCTGAATCTACAGCCTCAGTCCTGGATCCACAGCCTCAGTCCTGGATCTACAGCCTCAGTCCTGAACCTCTACAGCCTCAGTCCTGAACCTCTACAGCCTCAGTCCTGAACCTCTACAGCCTCAGTCCTAAATTTCTACAGGCTCAGTCCTGAACCTCTACAGGCTCAGTCCTGAACCTCTACAGCCTCAGTCCTGAACCTCTACAGCCTCAGTCCTAAACTTCTACAGCCTCAGTCCTGAATCTCTACAGCCTCAGCCTCAAAGGTGTAATGTCCTCTCTCTTTCTTTCGGTCCAGACCACAGTACATATATAGTACAGCTATTGTTTAAGTTTACAATAACAAACACACTACATTGCGTTGTTGTTCTCGGATGCCGCACAATGTCTCATCACCTATTTCCTCTCAGATGCAGTTTTCACACTTTTGAATCGTCAAAAGGAAACGCCGCCTTATCTCCCGAAACCGACAGCGTACACAGCACCGTGACAGAGAAATACACACACACACACACACACACACACACACAGAGTTGCTTTGACCGAGCAGCAGATAAGAGTCGTCTTGTCCTCACAAAACTGACTCCAACAAATGAAACTTCTCTGACTTTTTGCCTTAACAGGAGCTTCCAGATTACAAAGGAGCTCAGTGTTCCAGACAGACGGATGAACTTCTGCCATACTGTAAGAAGTTAGACGGAGGACAGGACTTCAGACGGAGACTAAACAAACTATGGTCAAACATGGATAGATGATGTTTATTTACAGAATTAGTTCAAGTGGATGATTCAAAGCGTTGGACGTCAAAACAGCTGCCGTGTTCAAGCTATTAGTCTCGACGGAAATTCTAAATATAGACTTTTATTCTCTGGCTTTTAACAGTTATGTGGTCCTCTGCGTTTTAGTTTTTTTTGTATAATAATAATAATTAATCATTCAGTTTATTTCATGGCGCCTTTAAAGACACCCAAGGACGCCTTACAATGTATTCAAAAACATCACACACGGTATTAAAAGTGCAGAATATAAAACATTCTTATATCTAACATGGTAAAATTACTAAGAGAAAAAGCCAGTTTGAAAAGCTAGGTTTTGAGATATGATTTGGAAATGTCCAAAGAGTCTAATATTGTTATTATTATTGATCTTTCATCTGCTATTTATATATATATTTACATTGTTACTGTTATCCCGGTGCAACACTCGAGCAACTTTCTTGAAACTTAGAAAATCCCAGGAGTGGACCCAGATCTGTTTATATTATGCATAAAAATGTAATGTAAATACTGTAAGTAAGTAAGTAATGTTTATTTATATAGCGCATTTTACAGACTAAGGTCACCCAAAGCGCTTCACAATGTTCAGAGTTCAGATATTGTTCCAATCACTCCACACACGGTGATGACGGAAGCGAGTTGCCGAACACACTGGACCATCAGCTCCAACACCATCATTCACTCTCTCATTTACATTCATACCTATTGTGCATGTTTTTAGTGGTAGGGGAAACCGGAGCACCCGGAGGAAACCTATGCAGACACGGGGAGAACATGCAAACTCCACTCAGAAAGGCCCTGTTCCGACCGGGATTCGAACCCAGGACCTTCTTGCTGAGAAGCGGAGAATGCTATCCACTCAGCCACTGCTCCGCCCAATGTATTGTTTATAAGCTTGAAGAAAAACAAAATGAACCATTGTATGAAATAGAAATACAAAGTGGACTGGATTGGATTAGTGTTTTTGTATGTCTACAGTATTGCACTTGTGTTTGTTTACACACATGAAGCCGCTCCCATTGCACATAATGGATTCTGGGGGAAAATAAAATCGTCACAATTTTTAAATAATGACCACGGATTTCACTCAACCCGCTGTGGTTTGGCGGATGTTTGAATTGCAAAAGTCTGCTCATAAAACCCCCATGATTACTGCGGTGGTAGAAATGAAGATTCAAGTTATGTGGGGCAAATTTCTTCTTCTGGGTGGATCGCCTAATGTTTAAATTCTAAACTATTGGTCCTTCTATTTGTCGATCATTCTGGTGATCTGTGAGACACGTTTTAATAGTCACTGAACATAAATAAACAATAACTCTAAATAAAATTAAATAAAATCGCTTGCCTTAAAATAATAAAGAAGCCAGAATAAAATCTCTATCTTTAGCATAACAAAGAAGCTATATAGAATCTCTTTCTTTAGCATAATAACAAAGCTAGTATAAAATCTCTCGCTTTAGCATTTTAAAGAAGCTAGTATAAAATCTCTAGCTTTAGCATAATAAAGAAGCTAGTATAAAACCACTAGCTTTAGCATAATAAAGAAGCTAGTATAAAATCTCTTGCTTTAGCATAATAAAGAAGCTAGTATAAAACCACTAGCTTTAGCATAATAAAGAAGCTAGTATAAAATCTCTCGCTTTAGCATAATAAAGAAGCTAGTATAAAATCTCTAGCTTTAGCATAACAAAGTAGCTAGTATAAAATCACTAGCTTTAGCATAATCAAGCAAGACAAAAATACTGTATATTCTAGTGCAAGACATATATAGATATATGTTTACATCTGTACATGTTAGCAGCATGAGGCTGTGGGACAAATTGACAAAGTAAAGTGACAGTGGACACATGTGGTTTCATATTGCACATTCAGACATCCACATTAACTATTGATACTCTGTGTACAGTACAGGCAGGTGCTGACTCAGGGCTCGGGTCGATGTCTATGTTCTACTGTAATGTTATGTTACTTTAATGTTATGTTACTGTAGCTGTCATCGTGGCCCCTCCCTGTCCTCCCGGGGGCCTCCAGCTGCTGCTTCTCCCAGCTCTAAACCCAACCTTATGAGACACCAATCTTAGAGACTGCACCGAGATAACAACACAGAGCTGCTATACCCGGTGTTTTAAAGGATTACCGCAAAGAATCATCAGACACCCTTTTCTCTGATGGGGCAGAGGCGTAAACCCGGCCTCGACACATATTCATTTGAAAGTCACAGCAGGAGAAACTAAACACATGCAGTTGTTTTGAGACAGACAGAGCAGAAGCCGCGGAGACAGAGACGGACTGGGGTTTGTTTATCTTCTTAATTAAAATGTAATTATAAAAGCCTTGTTTATTCGCTGCCTTCCTGTTGAGATGAACCCGACTTCCTCTGAGTAAATGACAGCCAATTTTACAGAGGCTGAATCATGGACTGTACACAGACCGACAATGCTACCCCCCCCCCCCCCCCCCCCCCCCCCCCCCCCCCCCCCCCCCCCCCCCCTCGCTCAAGGAAGCCCAATAGGGAAGTGCACATGGACAAAGTTTTGCTCCAACTCGCTCTGGCTCCGACTGACTTTAGACATTTTAAAGTAAACTCCTCTCGCTCAGTAACTGTTTGCATCATACTCCCCATTTTAGCCTTAAAAATTCTGGTTTAGTGCTGTCTGTCTGTATTGTGTGTGTATCTACAGATGTATAGAGCAGTGTTTTTCAACCAGTGGGCCGTGGCACGTTGATGTTTATTAGCGTGCCATGGGATTGATCCAATATCCCCTGCTTGGTCAAAATCATGTGAAAAGAAAATATTGTGTTCTTGTTTGATTTGCTTTATGTAACACACATTGATGGGGCTACAGTAGATCAGTTGGTAGAGCATTGGCCTTTGGGCCTGAAGGTCGTAGGTTCAAATCCACCATGAGACCTACCTCCAACTGATGTCTGCTGTTGTTGTGTCCTTGGGCAAGACACTTAACCCCACTTGTCCCAAAGCCCCCACTGAAATATCAAGGCTCCTGTGGACTCAGCACCTGCAGGAGGATCAGTGAGGGGCTGGTGCTCTGTGTACTGGGTGCACCTCTGACTGCCACCCCCCCGACCCAGAAATGGATTAAGGGGAAGAAAATGGATGGATGGATGGAACACACATTGATGAGAATCACTTTGCTGTGTTAATAAAGGCTGTAGACTTTTTGTATCAAAGTCAGTTGGTGGTTTGCCATGTAGAGTATTAAGATTTTCTTTGCATGCCCTTATAAGAGAGATAGATAGATAGAGAGATGTATTACAGACTCGTGGTCCAGAACAAAAATAGACAAGACACAACACACTATAGCAACCGACAACATATAACTACTCTTTTTTTTAATATTAACTTGTTTGCACCATGAGCCACAGAAAAAATGAAAATAATTCTGATTCTGATATTTTGATACTGTCCGTGTAAATAAAGTTATGTAATACTTTATTGTTGCCGTAGGTGTAGGGAAATGTGTCTTCTGCATTTGACCCGTCCTCCAATGCCACTGTAGGGCCTCTGTCAGGGGCAGTGGTCGCCACAGAAATCCAAGTTATTAACTATAAAAAAATTAACCAATCAGATGTCTTCATTCGAGGGGGAAACTCCAGCTTGCCTCAACAACCATCTGTGGAATCTGGCCTCCACAACATGGACTTGGGAACAACGCAGGACATAATATTCAAGTGATCAGGCCTTTATGGTCACAGCGACTCTATGTGTAGGTGTAGGGTCGGAGAGTGTTTGTGCCTGTGTGTTGTCAGAGTGTGTGTCTTATACCATCGGTGGTAGTATTGTGTTACTGTGTGTAATGTACTGTTGTATGTTTGAGAATTCTACAGCATGATATCTTTAAAACATTGTCTGATGGGGGTTGGAACCAAATACGCATTTGCTTCATCCGTCCCCTTTTCGAACCAGGTACAAGTCATCTGTCTTTTATATTGATATATGTAAAAAAAAAAAAAAAAATTGTGCAGGTTCGATATAAATATTGTATGTTGTTTGGACTAGCTAACACCTGTGGGGTGGCATCTTTGTTGTGATGCAAATTGTCTATAAAATGCTTGTTCTTATTTCCTTCTGTCTGGAAAAAAATAAATTAAAAAATAACTTTAGTGCAAAAACTCTGCCTAAGTCTCTGTCATTTCAGACACATCTTAAGCCTGGTTCACACGGCAGGATAATTAGGCCGATTTGAGACCCAAATTACCCCTAAAGACAATCTTAAAAACGCTCCGATTTTCGTGAAAAAAATCTGATGGATTTTCCTGCCATGTGTGGTGTGTAAAGACGGCTCAAATCGGGGATATCCAACATGTTGGATTGTTTTGGCCCAATTTTTCTTTGTGTGTGGTGTTGGGGACAGACGAGCACGCTGCCAGTGGACAGTGTGTAGCCAATCAGAAGACGAGGTGACGAGGCGACGAGGAAACACCGGAAAGGAATCATAAATATATATAGTCCGAGCTCGCGTTGTCTCCATTTCTTTGACCATCGCCACTTTTTCTCTGTTAAAAACAAACTGCAAACTATCGCCACTGCATCCTCTGCGTCCGCCATGATTGTTTACTCTGAAGTCACGCTTGATCTCGAGAGGTTTTGTGAGATTGCCATCTGACCTGGGAATGCTCGGGGGTAAAATCGGTTCATGTGTGGTTAGACCCTTGATTTTTTATCTCCGTGTCTCCGTGTCAGGTTAGGAAAATCGGCCGACAATTTTAAAATCGTCTCGTGTGAACCAGGCTTTAGCAACACCTCTGCTTCTGTTACGGTATAAAGCAAACGCCATCGAAACAATTGCCCATAAAAGGAAATTAGCCATAGCTAGCTTACATTCGTATCTCCTAGTCTATGGGCTGGACACAGACCAGGACTTGAGGAGAAAAGTTGGACTTACTTGGCAACTCAAGCTTGATGCATTTATTCTCTCCGTCATGAACAGGACATTTGTAGACGTCTCCCGTGCGTCTGGCCGGTTGCCCCGACAACGGAGAGCCAATCAGAATCCTGGAAGTAAAAGTGTTTTGAGTCAAATGTTCTTCAGGTGAATTTAATGCAAGCAAAGCACAAAACGGCCTGAATCTGTGCCGAGCTGAAGCCACACCGTAACAATAACCACTAAACAACATAATTATACAGAGAGGTTTCATTAAACAAAATTACACAGAAATCACGGTTACAATAAAAGCCTGTTTACCCACTGGGAAAAGGACAAATATGGTAAATATGTCAAAGTAACATATTTACAAAGGTAAGTTTAATTGTACAGCACAGTTCATACACAAGGAAACTCAAAGTGTTTCACAAACAATCATATAAGGCGCTAAAATCATTGCTGTGATTAGTTCACATGACTCTCTCTGGTCTCTCTCTGGTCTCTCTCTGGTCTCTTTCGCTGGACTCTCTTTGGTCTCTATCTGGTATCACTCTGGTCTTTCACTGGTCTCTGTCTCGTCTTTCTCTCTGGTATGACTCTGGTATCTCTCTGGACTCTGATTTGTCTCTCACTGGTCTCTCTCTCTGATGTCATTCTGGTCTCTCTCTCTGGTCTCCCTCTGGTCTTTCCCTCTGGTCTTTCCCCCTGGTCTATCTCTGGTCTCTCTAGTGTCTCTCTGGTCTCTCTCTGGTCTTTCTCTGGACTCTGATTTGTCTCTCACTGGTCTCTCTAGGGTCTCTCTCTCTGGTGTTATTCTGGTCTCTCTCTCTGGTCTCCTTTTGGTCTCTCTCTGGACTCTTTCTGCTCTCTCTATGGACTCTCTCTCTGGTCTCCCTCTGGTCTCTCTCTGGTCTCTCTCTCTGGTCTCTCTAGTGTCTCTCTGGTCTCTCTCTGGTCTCCCTCTGGTCTCTCTCTGGTCTCCCTCTGGTCTCTCTCTGGTCTTCCTGTAGCCCTCAGTCCTGCTCATGCCCCTCAGTATCCCCTGCCCCTGTGCTGTATGCACAGCTTTTGACAGCTGCAGCAACTCTCAAACCTACCACCAACAGCTTTGACATCTCTACTCTCTCTCTGGTCTCGCTCTGGTCTCTCTCACTTCATCCGTCGTGAGCTCAGGTTATAAGCGTGTATTAAAAGTGTGTGTGAGGGTTTTACAGCCTTAAAACATACAGCTGCTACTTCACACAATTCCCAAGGACCACTGTGCTCTAGTTAAACACATCCGGCTGCGTATGAGCATCTTTCTTCCAACTTTTCTCAAGACTTATAGCTCAGAAATCTTCCTAGCGTTCAGAGCCTCCTGCCCATGACTGCGTACACATGTGCTCCTCCATGTGACTTTGGAATAGGAGCTAAAAACAGCATCTGCCTCTAAACACTCGCACTTATTAACATTCCTCACGTGTAATGGGCCCCGCTCCACAACAGACACCAGGAAACTCACTGAGCATCAGGAGATAATTGATCTCCAGCAGTAATTGATGGCCTTCACATTTCTATTAAACATTTACACATTAACATATACGTATTTATATACAGCCGGCTACCATCAATTACAAGACAACAGCTTCCCTTTGATAGGCCTCGTAGATTAAAAAGTATAGCTTGAACTCTCTGGTCTCTCTCTGGTCCCTATCTCTGGTCTCTCTCTCTTTGGTTTCTCTCTGGTCTCTCTCTAGTCTCTCTCTCTGGTCTCTCACTCTGGTCTCTCTGGTCTTTCTCTGGTCTCTCTCTCTGGTCTCTCTCTGGTATCTCTCTGGTCTTTCTCTACTTTCTCTCTCTGGTCTATCTCTGGTCTCTCTCTCTCTCTGGTCTCTCACTCTGGTTTCTCTCTGGCCTCTCTCTCTGGTGTCTCTCTCTGGTCTCTCTCACTGGCCTCTCTCTCTCTGGTCTCTCTCTGGTCTCTCTCTGGTCTCTCTCTGGTCTCTCTCTAGTCTCTCTCTGATCTCTCTCTGATCTCTCTCTGGTCTCTCTCTGGTGTCTCTCTCTGGTCTCTCTCACTGGCCTCTCTCTCTCTGGTCTCTCTCTGGTCTCTCTCTGATCTCTCTCTGATCTCTCTCTGATCTCTCTCTGGTCTCTCTCTGGTCTCTCTCTGATCTCTCTCTGATCTCTCTCTGATCTCTCTCTGGTCTCTCTCTGGTCTCTCTCTGATCTCTCTCTGATCTCTCTCTGGTCTCTCTCTGGTCTCTCTCTGGTCTCTCTCTGATCTCTCTCTGATCTCTCTCTGATCTCTCTCTGGTCTCTCTCTGGTCTCTCTCTGATCTCTCTCTGATCTCTCTCTGATCTCTCTCTGGTCTCTCTCTGATCTCTCTCTGATCTCTCTCTGGTCTCTCTCTGGTCTCTCTCACTGGCCTCTCTCACTGGCCTCTCTCACTGGCCTATAGGCAAATGGTTGAGATGCAGTTTGATGCAAAAGTAGATTTCAGTCCAAGCTTCAAGTAGGTAAAGAGACTCAAAAGGTTTCCCACTAAATGGTCGAGGAAACCATTAAAAGGTTCATATAAAAAATCACAGCAGGTTATGAAGAGTGAAGATAAAATCCTTAAGTTGTTTGCAGCTAAACAGAACTATATAAACCTGGATTTGAACATTGTCAGAGAAGAAGCCTGTCAAACATTTCAGACTGTTCCAGATTTTAGCTGTATGAATCTGAAATTCTGCCTGCCCATGTTTAGTCCTGACTCTGGGCAGCAGCTGCACAAGACAATGAGTGCAAGGCCACCCCTCTACTCAAACTAGTTTTACTCTGTGTTAAATGGCATTAGTATCAGAGAAAAGAAATCTCTCATTTGTTTGTATATTTCAATAGGTAAAAGCAGCAGATGTCGGGGCTTCTCACATCATATATGTGTTGTTTTAGTGCTGCGCTGAGACCTTGTGGAGGTGGTGGGCTGGAGGTGGGGGTGGACATCTGTGATCCATCAGCCTCTAGTTCTATAGTAACTCACTTTTACATCCTCACTATCTGCTCATTCTTTTATCCAGAGCAACATCGGCCACAGCATCTCCGCTTTTAGTGCTTTGTCCATGTCCTTTCCATGTCCTCTTTCATCCAAATGTCTCTTACACCAAAGAAACTTCTGAGTTTATGAGGCTGTTATCTGGAAAAGCTGGAGCTGCTTTTTCATACAACCCACGACTTTCATGAAAAGAGGGCCTTGCTAAAATATGAATACAGCTTGAACTCTCTGGACTCTCTTTGATCTATTTATGATATTTATGATTTATATAATGTCATTGATGTAGAAATTGGTCTCTCTCTAGTCTCTCTCTGGACTCTCTCTGGTCTCTCTCTAGTCTCTCTCTGGTCTCTCTCTAGTCTCTCTCTGGTCTCTGTCTGGTCCCTCACTCTGGTCTCTGTCTGGTCTCTCTCTCTGGTCTCTCTCTCTGGATTCTCTCTCTGGATTCTCTCTGGTCTCTTTCTGGTCTCTCTCTCTGGTCTATCTTTATGGATTCTCTCTGGACCCTCTCTGGTCTCTCTCTGGTCTCTCTCTCTGGTCTCTCTCTAGTCTCTCTCTGGTCTCTGTCTCTGGTCTGTCTCTCTGGTGTCTCTCTCTCTGGTCTCTCTCTCTGGATTCTCTCTAGTCTCTCTCTCTCTCTGGTCTCTCTCTCTCATCCCTCTCTCTGGATTCTCTCTGGTCTCTTTCTGGCACAGAGCCTTGCTAAAGTCTAAACACACCTTGAACCTTTGCTCTATTTGTCACGTATACAACCATAAACGTGAACACTTTATCTAGATTTAGTTCATGATCTCTCCTCGGGGTAAGATTTTATTGCTGTTATGCCCTTTTTTATATCTATCTAGTTTGGGCCTAGTATGTAAAGCAACAATTATATTTTTTGTTATAAGAAGTGAAAGTCAAATGATAAATGATTCTGTTATTATTCTAATAACGGAAAAAACGACAAATTGGGCCTGCACAAGTATTCATACAGCTTTTTTCGGAATGTATTAAATTGCCTTAAAAAATGTCTAAATAATGAACTGCTGTCAGTATAAATAAATACAGATGTTTTATGTAGGTCCTCAGAGAGTATTGGTCACTAAACAACATCATGAAGGCTAAGGAGCACATGGCAGAAGTGAGGAAGTTATGGAGATGTTTAAAGTAGCATTAATTATAGATTTCTTTGTCCCACAGTGGGGAAATTTCACTGTTGCATCACCGGTTACGGAACAGAAGGAATGAGGAGCACACAACACAAGATAAACAATAACTCATACCAAAAAAAAATTGCTATTTGCAAAGACTGTATATTGTAGTGCAAGAGGGTCTGGGACAATACCAAGATTTCCCACAATTTTAAAATCTTTCGAAGCAATTTTCAATCCATTATTCTGGAATTTTAAAAGTACTACTATAAACTTACAAAGACAAAAGTGAAATCTGTGTTTAAACTTTCCCAATGCGCTCTATCCCATACGAATGTCCAGACAGAAGCTGTATACATGCTCTTGATCAGGTTATTGCTGCAGCTATGCCATGTGGGAAAAGCATCTGGAGGTAGTAAAGAACAAAACAAGTAAAAGTGTCAAAGTGCAGACAACGAGGAGCAAAGAGACAGCGGTCCTCCTCAAACTAATACAATTTAACAGCGGGCTTTTAAACCACGTTCCCAACTCCAAATAGTAAGAATACCCTGGTGCCTGGTGTCGGCACGTTTACAAGGACGTGGGGACTCCAGTGTCTGAGGTTAACAAGCCCTCCATGTTCAGCTGGCATTTCCCATCACAGTGGAATAGAAAATCACTTCCATGTTGTGTTTTCGGTGCTGTTCCTAAAGCTTAGTTTGAAATAATAAAAAAAAAAAATAATAATAATAATAATAGTAATAATAATAACACTGCTACATCAAACTTGTATTGCGCTTTTTTGGACACTCAAAGACGCTTCACAGAAAATATAATGTGAGAGATATTTTAATATATTTACGAATAATACTGTATTTTCTCGACTATAAACTTATAAGCTGCAGGCTCCAATTTTCAGAAAGAAATATAAACTGCACCGAATTTTGAGCCGCAACCCTCCCATGTTGTGATACTGAAAAAGTAGCTCAAAACGTTCTTCTAGTTACTGCAAGAAGTGAGACACCGGCTGTTCTTCAAGTCTATCTTATCGTATCTTAATGGCATATGCAGTAGGAGGATTTTCCCAAATTTTAGGAAAGAACCGCCCTCTCCACTTTTTGAACAAAGCTCTCTGGTCTTATTGGACGAGCACGTATCACCTGAATGATTGACAGTTAGGAGGACCAATAGGAAGTAGTGATCCACCAGAAGTACAAAATCCTCATATACCTTTTTAAGTGGTCTCCCAGTGAAATCAGAAAGGTAAGGAGCTACATTCATCAGTACTTTTCTCACTTTCACGTCTATACAGAGAATCAAAAACGATGTATAGGCTTTTCTTTTAGTATTTTCCGTGTTGGGTTGGTACAAATGACTGATTAACAATTCATACAATTTTAGTGGACCTCTGTGAACGACTAATCAATTCTGTTGGTTTACTGTTACTTAGCAAGATCATTTTGGTGCCACAGAATAATAACAGCAAAAAATTAAGCCGCACCTTTGTACAGTGTTCAAAGTGCATTGAAAAAGTCATGGCTTAAAGTCCAGAATGTACGGTCTATTTTGCTTTTGTAACAGTTTAAACCTTAAATTTAGTCTTAGGGTCCCCGACTGGAAAGTTGGAGACCCCCTTGGAGACTGTACTGTACTGTACTGTACACGTTTACGGCTTATTATGCATTTCAACACTTTAGATTTCTCTGTCAGGGCGTTGTTTTGTATTTGGCTTCAGAAAAGGCTTAGTTATTTTGGCTTCAACTTTTCTTTTTACGAGAGCGGCAAAGCGGCTTTTATTGACATCATTAAGGTTTTTACGGCATCTGCAACAATAGTGTGTGTTATGCTTCCCCTATAGCCGCACATGCGTTCTCACATTCAGATACAGACTACTTTATTTATCCCACCAGGGGCAATTCATCAGCAGCAGAGGGCATGAAAACATAAAAACACATAAATTGTTGAAAGATAAGCGACATGATGTGAAGTGGAGCCCAAAGAAACACCAAAGTCAACAACTGTTACAGAGAGTTTTAGCCTGGTCTTATCACACCATTGTACTCATTTCATTTTGTACTAAGGTCTGGATTTGGTCCATTGAGCTCCGTTAACAAGTGGGAGGGGTTAACTCCTTTTGCAGATTGAAACGATTGAATCTGAGTTTACCGTGATGGATGTGAGTGAGGCATTTAGCATTGAACCTCGCTTTAGCATTTAGCCTAGCTTTAGCCATCTTCTTTGCCGCTAACGGAGCCCGTGGGGAGTAGAGCCACAACATCTTTGCCAGAAATGACATTTGCTAAACATTCCTCTTGCTCCAGCTTCAATTTCTTGATAGAACCAGAACAGATTACTTTACTATTGCATTCTCCGTCGTTGCCAAACTACAATCAGCAAATTTGGCGCAAACTCTTGACGTCAACAACATCTTCCTACAGCACCCGCCTCCCCCGCTCTCTGATTGGTCGGAGTGGATTAAACCGAGGAAACTGCAGCCGCTTGGACCAGACCCAGACGTACATGTAGGAAATGATCATGTACAGGGGTTTACAGATGGCTAAGACCAGGCTAGTTTTACAATAAAGTGGAATGAAATGTCTTTCTGATTGAAGCACTCGTAATCTACAGGAAACAGAGAGCTGAGAGTTCACGCCTGCACAAGGACTGAAAAACCAACACTGCTATTGCCACTTTATATTGTACATAATAACCGCACAGACTATAGTTTTAGTTTGATTGCACACTTATGTGGAGTCGTGACTTGGTTACAGTGAAGGAGTGAGCACTTCACGGTATTCACCCTCCAGAGCAAAGATCCTGCTTCCCAGAGCGTCCACGATGCTGAGCAGAGCAAACTCATCGGAGACGTTGAAGAAGTGGTCGTGCAGCGGCGGACTGGAGATGGATTCTATCTCTTTGATAAACTTCCGTACTTCCTCTGGAGTCTTGTTTTGTCGATTGTAGTCTCCCAACACCTGCACAGATAATGAGATTTAAAAAAAACCAATAATAATAATAATAATAATAATGATAATAGCTATACAAAATATATATAATAAACATTCTGTAGAAGAGCAAATTTGAAATAAACATAAAATAAACATGACAATTCATTGGATTTTTATTTATGTATTTATCTATAGCTATATTTCTTATTTTGGCAGTTTTGGTCTTCCATACTGAGTCGTAGTTTCTGATGGGTTGTGGGAGTGAACTTCATCAATATAATCATGTCTACTGGACATTCTGGACTACAACGCGCACATGTACATAAGCCGCACCACCTGAATTTTAAAATAAAATCAACGCTGTCCACATATAGGCCGCACTGGAATATTCGCCGCAGGTTTTCATGTTGTAATGTAGCAGAGAGACGACTGTTTTAAATGAACACGACGTAAGTAAGTAAGTAATCTTTATTTATATACCGCCTTTTCACTGCACATCGGAGTCTCAAAGCGGTTTACAATTGTGATTTTTTTTTTTGGGATTGCTAGTACAGGAGGCACATGCCAGATCTATTGTACATATTTTTAGTGGTAGGGGAAACCGGAGCACCCGGAGGAAACCTACGCAGACACGGGGAGAACATGCAAACTCCACTCAGAAAGGCCCTGGTCCAACCGGGATTCGAACCCAGGACCTTCTTGCTGAGAGGCGAGAGTGCTATCCACTCAGCCACCGTGATTTAATAATGAGGTGTACGCTAGCTTCCATTACTCATTCTGTTTAGTTTATTTTGACACGTGTCCTACAGATACTAAAGCTTAATGGAGTCAAAATAATGAGTCCAAAAACTACTCTACAACAATAAAAATACATATATTAGCTGCATCGCTATATAAGCCGCATGGTTAAAATAACTATAAAAAAGTTGCGGCATATAGTCTGGAAAATTACGATAACAATAAAAACAGTTAAACCAGAGGCAGTAACTGTGAGCTGCACGTACAGCGATGCCAAACCTCTCGATGTCATCGTCTTCGCAGCCGGCGATGACACGGTTCATGTTGTAAAAGTCATGTGACTCTCCGTCCGTCACCGTCACCAGCACTTTCTTCACTCCCGGTCGAGCTCCGCGTTCGGCCATAAAGGCTTCTTTCCTAAAAAAACATCGAAACACAGCTTTAAAGACCTAAGAACTTTTTATAAAATCATTTGGTTGCATTTTTTTCCATACGTTTTTTTTGTGTGTGTTGCTTTTGTATTTTATGGACAATTCATAAAAGCACTCGTAGTTATAGAGATGACGATCTGGATCACTTCAAAAATTTGGTAAAAAATCTGCCCATAAGTCAAGAACCCAAGTGATAATATTAAACCGTAATTTCCTAACTATAAGCCGCAAATCTTTTCTCGATCTTTGTCCCCTGCGGCTTATATAGCGATGCAGCTAATATGTGTACGTTTATTGGATCAAAATAATGACTCATATATGTCAAAACAGATTAAGGTAAATGAATTATGGAAGCTAACATTTAAGCTAACACCTCGTCATTAAATCATGTTGTGTCCAGTTAAAACAGTCGTCTCTCTGCTACAATACAACTTAAAAACCTGCGGCTTATATTCAGGCGCGGCCTATATGTGGACAAAATGTACTTTCTTCTCAGATGTAGCGGGTGCGGCTTATAGTCCAGAAAGTACTGTACATTTTACAATCATCAACTGTTTGATTATAGTTTTCAGAGTTGGACCATTGCTCCGGGGGGAGGGGGAGGGGGGGGGGGGGTACCTCGCCGTGTCGATGCCCAGAAACGTCATGGTCTTGAACCCGGTTTGCTGTGGGAGCTCTTTCACAAACTTCACCAGGTCCTGAGTGTTGTCAAACTGACTGAGGTTGACGTTATGAGTCACTGTCTCACCATAGGACACAATACCCACCTACAGAACACACACACACACACACACACATCCTTATTATTACTTATGACTATGACTAAAATGAACCGAAATAGAAATGTCATTGATTTTTCCATTTCTCTGTGTCATTCTCTTTCTTCTCTCTCTCTTTCTCTTTTCTCTCTGACATTGTGCAGAGGATGTGTGTGTGTGTGTGTGTGTGTGTGTGTGTGTGTATGCTGCTGGTTGTGGCCTTAGTATGAAAAAAATATTCTTTAAACAGTGGGCAGAGGTTCGAGGAGCACCCATGGAAGATGTGACCGAGCTGCCAGAATCAGCTCCGAGACAGTTTTCCAGGCCTTGCCCTCTGGAAAACTGTAAAATCTCCAAGACGATCGATGTAACCATAATAAAAACCTAACCACGCTGAACTATTCTGACACCAGCCGACGGAAATACACAGAGCAGTGGATTCTCTGTAGGCACCAGCCCTCACACAGACATCTAGAAACTTCTTCATGACAAAGTACTCTTGGATTATTGAAATTCTAGCTGTTTTAAAAAATGAACTTACTTGAGAAAGGTTGGGTCCAATAACTATCTTTGAAAGAAACCGCTCTAGAAAGTCCGTGATGCCAGACCACGGGTAGATGCTGTTCGATCCATCCAGGACGATTACGATGTCCAGCTCTTTCGCACATTCTGAAATCAAAAATAAAATTGTGAATTGAAATCAAATGGATCAGAAAGTTCGATGATCAAATGTGCTGATTGTTTTGT